GTTATATGCAAAGAAACCTCAAGTCTCTGATCGTTTTTTGGGAGGAAGAAAGAGAAAAAGAAAGATTTCCGTGCGAATTGTGAGATGCAAGAATATTTAGTTTTAAGAGGTGGGCAAACGAAAATATTTTTTTTTAAAGGTGGGCAAACGAAAAAAACAAATTTTAAAGGGTGGGCAAACGATAAAAAGCATTTTTAAAGGGTGGGCAAACGATTTTGTTTGAAAATATTTAGTTTTAAGAGGTGGGCAAACGAAAATATTTTTTTTTAAAGGTGGGCAAACGAAAAAAACAAATTTTAAAGGGTGGGCAAACGATAAAAAGCATTTTTAAAGGGTGGGCAAACGATTTTGTTTGAAAATATTTAGTTTTAAGAGGTGGGCAAACGAAAATATTTTTTTTTAAAGGTGGGCAAACGAAAAAAAACAAATTTTAAAGGGTGGGCAAACGATAAAAAGCATTTTTAAAGGGTGGGCAAACGATTTTGTTTGAAAATATTTAGTTTTAAGAGGTGGGCAAACGAAAATATTTTTTTTTAAAGGTGGGCAAACGAAAAAAAACAAATTTTAAAGGGTGGGCAAACGATAAAAAGCATTTTTAAAGGGTGGGCAAACGATTTTGTTTGAAAATATTTAGTTTTAAGAGGTGGGCAAACGAAAATATTTTTTTTTAAAGGTGGGCAAACGAAAAAAAACAAATTTTAAAGGGTGGGCAAACGATAAAAAGCATTTTTAAAGGGTGGGCAAACGATTTTGTTTGAAAATATTTAGTTTTAAGAGGTGGGCAAACGAAAATATTTTTTTTTAAAGGTGGGCAAACGAAAAAAAACAAATTTTAAAGGGTGGGCAAACGATAAAAAGCATTTTTAAAGGGTGGGCAAACGATTTTGTTTGAAAATATTTAGTTTTAAGAGGTGGGCAAACGAAAATATTTTTTTTTAAAGGTGGGCAAACGAAAAAAAACAAATTTTAAAGGGTGGGCAAACGATAAAAAGCATTTTTAAAGGGTGGGCAAACGATTTTGTTTGAAAATATTTAGTTTTAAGAGGTGGGCAAACGAAAATATTTTTTTTTAAAGGTGGGCAAACGAAAAAAAACAAATTTTAAAGGGTGGGCAAACGATAAAAAGCATTTTTAAAGGGTGGGCAAACGATTTTGTTTGAAAATATTTAGTTTTAAGAGGTGGGCAAACGAAAATATTTTTTTTTAAAGGTGGGCAAACGAAAAAAACAATTTTTAAAGGGTGGGCAAACGATTTTGATTGAAAATAATTAGTTTTGAGGTATGAAAAATTCTTAATTCTTAAGGGCTTATATTTTCTAAACTAAAAGTTTTTTCAAAATTCTAAAGGGTGGGCAAACGTTTAGAACCATTTTTAAAGGGTGGGCAAAAGATTTTTTTTGAAAATATTTAGTTTTAGTAGGTGGAAAATGCATAATTCTTTAAGGCCTTATATTTTCTAAACTAAAAGTTTTTTCAAAATTCTAAAGGGTGGGCAAACGTGGGCAAACGAAGTTATTGCGATTTAAAAAAAAAAAAGTTCAAAAAAGTCAACTTTTTGATTTTCGAAAATTTTCGAAAATTTTCGAAATTTCATATCTTCAAAACTGGACGTGGGCAAAAAAAACTAATTGGTGGGCAAACATGGGCAAACGATGGGCAAACGATTCCACCTTTCAAATTTCAAAAATTCCATTTTCCCGAACCCAGCTTCTTTGAGCTCGAGGCGTTCATACGGACAGATGGACGGACATGGCCAGTTCGACTCTTCGGCTATTGATCCTGATCAAGATTATATATACTTTATATGGTAAACGCTTTCCTCTGCCTGTTACATACTTTTCAACGAATCAAGTATAGCCTTTTACTCTACGAGTAACGGGTATAATTTATGAATGGTCCAAAATGGTAATTATATTACAAACTAGTTATAGAACCAATCTAATACAAAGTGCTAATCAAAACGGACACAGTGCTCACAGGCCCGTGTAAACTATTTTGATGGGTGCGAAAATGTTCACACCTACGGTACGGATTAAATACACCTCGTGACTCAGTTTTATCTGTAACCTTAGAATACACATTTTTGCGTTTTTGGGTAAATTTGCAGGGGGCTTTCTACGATTTTGCGGTTGCAGTGCGACTGCCAATCGGATATGGAACGCGTGTGCCCGCGAAATAGAAAACCCGTCAATCGATCCGTGGATCGTTTGGCAGATCGTTTGCTATATGGGCTAGTGGGTCGTCGAATGTTGACGGCTGCGGTGTGGTTACGTGCCTGAAATGAGCCACATTGGGCGGATCAATTAAATGGTAGCAGCTCTTGCCTAATTGGCCATAATTCTCCTTGCCAAAAAACACTTTTCGGGGCAGCTCTATAATTATGATCGAGAGTTGAGAGTGGGCGGCAATTTGTTTTGTTTATTTTTCAGCTGCGCGTTGGTGTCTCAAACGATTAAATAATTGAGATAAGTGAAGCATTTGTTTACCACACGAAACGGTTGACGGTGGGAATTACAAGCTGATGTTATAAATGGTTTCGCTCTCTAAGAGGAATTAACATTATCTATTCGAGTTTTCCCAATATAATTGCAAAGTTCAATGTAGTGCAAAAAGTGCACTCAAAATGGGTGGGGTCAGCGCATATGTACATACATACGTATATTTTTAGCAAGTGAGTGGGTCTTTCATCGTTTTCATTAGATCATTGCATTCGCGTATAGTATATAGCAAGCTATATCTTGTGGGTGCCTATGTAGGTGGATGCTCGACTGGGTTGAGCCCAAGTTGTAAACACAAAAGTATTCAAATCTCGGGTATTGAAGCTAGACTAAGCTATATGTAATGACCCCTTTTCAATGTCGAAGTAAAGTGCATAATGCTGTCTTAATGCGCCCGATGTTAAACTCACCATTTTGTTTGGGTTTCTGTTTTGCCACAATTTTCATTTTGTGCAAGTTTTTCAATATCATGAGCACTTTGTGAAACTATAGTCGGTTGTTTGTAATTAGTTGAACATTTTTTCGTAAAGCAAATAAATTTAAGGATTTTTCCTCGCGTATAAAAGTGGAAAACGGTAAAAACCCTTTTCTTTAATTGTGAAATTGATGTACTTAGTTGAGATGTTTATATTTATGTGACATTGACAATGATTTCAAAGGGGATCTTGTTGACTACCCATTGGTGTCCTAAATTTGTTTTATTTCCATCTTGCTTTAAAAAATGGACAAATCTGGCTAATAAAATTGATAACTAATAAATTAGAAAGCCCTTATAGTCATACTTTATAAATGACATATTTTCTGTGAGCCACAATACTAACTGGTTCAGATTGTTGCACAATAAGACTGAAACTTACCTCTTGGTGGTGGACCCGATTTGGGAGTAGTGTGATTGCAGCACGGCCTTCCGATTTTGGAAACAGAACCCGTCGATCCGAAACTAGATGGTGCCTTCATTTTGCTGGGCTGCGGGATTCCGGTGCCAGAAGCAGCGGGCGTGGGAATATTCGATCTGATGGGACCCGGTAATTTGGAGGCAGTGGCTCCAGGTTCCGGGTCCGCAGTAACTGGCGATGGAAAAGGGGCACTTGCCCCGCCAGAAACGCTCGTTTCATCACTCATTTTTCACTTTAATCTAATTACTTCACTTATCTGGACACACGCGTATTAAAAGTAAACGATTTAAAAAACTTGGGGAAGAAACATGTGATAGATAATCATTTGAATGAATGAATTGAAGGAATGAATTGAATGCTGATCACTTACCTTAACAAATCTAGGTATAATTCGCTTAATTTTCCTTTATTTTAAATTTTTTTGCTACAAAAATTAAAAGATTTTTTATTTCAGCTAGGTTTTGCACCACTGTGCCACTTTTGTTGTTGCTGTTGTTTTATTTTGGCGCGCAGGCAGCTATCTCACTCGCACTTAGGCGGCTGCTTTAAAACAGCTGATTGAGAGCGGATTTCTTTTATTCTTTTTTTCGTTGAGCTTGAAAAACAAACAAAACCGCTTTTTGTTGCTGCTCCCGTTGGCCAGAACTTCGTTATATTTTCAAAAAATGCGGAACCAAAATATGTGCTGAATTTTATGCGGCTAACAAAATCACTCAAGGGTATTCTATTTATATGGCTTAGTAATTTTTTATTTATAATTTCCTGTTGCGCTGCTTGCGCTGATATTCATCTGATTTAAACTAGATTAAATAGAATCAAATTGCTTATCAATTTGTGCAACTCACACACACACGCACACGCACACAAACACACGCGCGCTTCAGCTCTGTTCTATATTTTATTGTTGTTGCTGATTTGACACAGTTATAGAAGAGGAAGCAGGCGAGAAGGGTGAAAGGGACGCGAAAACGCACTGTTATTGCTGTGTGTTTACCGCACACACACAGTACTTAGGTACGCTGGCGTACATTACATGCTGTACTGCAAAACGATTTAGAAATATACGCGATTTGGCTCTTTTGTACGGTTTTACACTAATTTTGGGCTTTTTTTTTGCACTTCGTTGGCGTTGCGTTGGAATTTTGTTGTTGCACTGGGCTAGGGATGGGAGCACAGCTCCAGTGCAGTGCGCCTATCGATAGTCGCGGCTATATATAGCCGAGGTATTTTCCGCCTACTGCGGTCATACCAAAACACCCTGTAGGAAATGAGCCACATGTTTCAAACCCATGGGTAACGAACATTTAGATTCAACATGATGTATGTAAGGCATTCTGTGTATATATAGAGTTGAAATAAGGCGATCGATTATTGCCGTGCTAGAGTGCCGGATTACTTTTTAAATTATACGCCCTTTTCCTTTTAATATCATGAATGAAATGTTCCGTTATATTAATAAAGCAAGATAAAGATAAATAAATAACCCATTAAGGTAATATCTTTTAACAGTTACATTGTCGACATTTCAAATAGCGATAGGAATCGAGCGCTCGCGTGCCGATAACACTGTGGTATTTTATCGATAGTGCTCACATGCACGCTGCTCTCAAACACGCGACGTTTCTAGCGCTGCCCATGAAACATCGGATAAACCGATTCAGTTGTTGTTCGATTTTCGCTGTGCGTTGCTGCTCGTCGCTGCGTGAGTTTGTGCGTGTGTGAGTGCGCGTGTGTGCGAGGAGGCAAAGAAGAGGAAGCAAGAAGGAAGCCGCAAAAGGAAAAGCCAATTCCGAGAAATCTTATCAATGAGCCAAGAAGACGGACACTAAATGGAAAATAATCGAGATGCGTGTGTTGCAGTAGAGCGAATTTAGTTTCTAGTTTCGGTTTCTGTCGGCACTCCGCTCCGTTTCCTTATCGGTGTGATAGTTCAGCGCGTGCGTGTGTGTGTGTGCGTGTGCAAGTGTGTGGAAGTGTCGCCACGCCTACACGGGAAATGGCAGCAACGGTTTACCAACGCCTACATAGCGTCGCAGTCGGCGTCGGCAGCGCCGCTGGCAGCGCCATCGGCAGCGGGTCGGCTTCGTTTCCAGGATCTGGATCTGGAGCGGGATCGGGATCGGGATCTGGAATAGGCAACTCTGGAAACACCTCCTCCTCCACCTCGTCCGCCCTGCTCAGCCACTCCCAGCTGACGCGCTCCCTGGAACGAATCCTGGAAGAGGCGCACTTCAGCGGCGAACTGATCCTGACCAATCGCAAGCTGAAGGACTTTCCCAGGACTGGAACGAAGTACTCTCTTACCGACACCGTCATCGCAGGTGCGTACCGCTTTTGTACAGTGTATATTCGTAAGGGAGAACAAAGAAAAGGTGCTTTACAAGCAGGTTCCATGGCCATAGAACATCAGATAACCATATTTAATACACGAATCGAATTAAAAAAAAGTTGAATAAAATATTATTGGAAAGGCATATACATAGTTGCATGTTAAAATACTGAATCCTAATAGAAATGTTGGTTGGTAATACTTCATACTTAACCATACAGGTTTGGAAATGGTTTTTAGTGAAAAATTAGTTTTGTTAAAGCCTGATAAAGCCTTTAATTTAACTAAATATCGCATATGTATACCTTTAGGGTGCGGCACTTAAGAAAAGGAGTTGTGTTGCCGGTGCGCTAACGAAGTTTTTCCATCTCCGTTGCAGTGGCAAAGTTTCCTTTTGTGGTTTGAAAATCAATAATTTGCAGCAGCCGTCGGAGGTTCATCCTCTTCCTCCTTTTCTGTCCTCCCATCAGCTGCTCTTTCTCTCTTCGGCTCTCCCATTCTCTCCCTTTTTGCACTGCGCTCAAGGACAATAATTACCGCCGTTTTTCGCTCTCCGCCACTTTGCACTATTCGTGTTATCCTTACTTATTACTTTTTTTCGCTGCAGCCGGCATGAACATTTCGTGGAAGTTCAACCAACTTTCGTTTTTGTTAGGGCCAAAAAATATGCACCAGCAGAGAAATTGTAAATGGGAAATACCCACCCAGAAAATCCACCGCCTTCTCCTCTCCCAGGACCCCGCCCCCTCTCACAGCTGCTGCTACCCTCGAACAGATGTTCTCACAACGGGACATGTCTCTCATCGATTTTCACTTGTGTTTGTTGTATACACATACAGTGAACGCCGTGAAAGGCGAAAGGACGCGTACATGAGGTTAGCTGTCATTCTAATCGCTGAAAAAGCAAGATATGCCAATTTATCTATATCCTATCGTTTAGCCATCCTCCACATAAGATTATGTTCATTGAAATGATAACAATTTTAAACTATAAAATGCTACAGTATTTTTTTTAGCTTCTTTGTCTTTTCTTCTTTTACGATGAAAATTCCATCTACATAAGAGGTATTATTAATATTTAATAATGAATAGTAATATGCCAATAACCATGCTTGTCGCCTTTCGGAGGACGCACTGTATTTGATGTTTTTTCTATGGAAACTTCTGGAATAGAAGGGAACTTTTTATTTTTGGACTGCGAAGATTAATTGCCTTGGCAGAGAGATAAAAATAAATTGTGTCATAAATTGAAAACTAATTTGGTATAAGAATAGGGAAAGAATTCAATAAAAATTCCACATACCCTGTGCCTTTTATATATCATCCGACAATTGAAAATTAACAAAAGTAAACAAAGTGCAGTTTTCAGAACGTGTAGTTTGTCTACCATTAATTCAATTAAAATTACTTTGTGTAACGCAGATACAAACTAATAAATTAAGTAAACTAAATTGAAAGTTGCACTTCGTTATTTAAAAGACAACGTAACAAATTTAAGTGGTTTTCTTGTAGTGAAAGTGAACATTAGGATATCAGCAGTGTTTAATTTATTTAAAATAAAGAGATCAAATATTTTATAAACAGTTTGTAAACAATTTTCAAAGTTTTTCCCTTCCTAACCTAGGAAATATATTTTTAATTTCCTTCAATCCGCTCTGCTCCCCGTTTTCCTTCTACGTGACTTGGTTTTTGAATTAAGCTGTGACAATCCGTGACTTATGGTCACGCGCTATCTGTTCGAAATGGGGAAACGATCCCTTCTTTGGAAAACACTTCCCCACTTGGAGAGCCAAAGAGCTTCCGGTTTTCCGTTCATTTTCGAGTAAGTTTTATGCGTTTTCTCACCAGCAATTGAGTCATCGGCTGCGAAGGCGTGACTAATTACTAATTAAAATGCTGGATTTGGTGTGAATGGACATGTGGAAAATGGTAAACAGGGGGAAATCGAGATACGTTGAACCTCTCGTTAAGGGTTAATCTATAGGGAAAATATTTGTAAATACACCCAAGCGAAGAACCTCTACAAATTGCCTCTTCGAGAACAATGAAGTGAAGCCACCCTCGGCGAAGGGTTTTCGCATGTGGGGGCGGTGGACCTTAAGAGGTGGCAACGGCTCTTAGCCTTAATGGCTTGCAACCACAAGGGTTTCGAGTTTCCAAGAAATCGATGATTCTAAAGCAAAAGAAAGTCAAAGAAACAGAAGCACAAGCTGAAAAAATGGGGATACACGACCATTTTCCTTTCTTTATTTGCACGCATGCCATTTGCAACCCCCGAAATGGCATGAAGTTAAGAGGAATGGGCAGGCGCCTGTCAGCATTTCCTAAAATCATTTGTTGTTGCGGCCACCCCACCCACACTTTTTCGCAGTGCATTCCTTTGGGGCGTTTAATTAACACGCGTGTCACGCAAATCAAACAGAACCATAAACAAAACCTAGACAAAGGCCGGCACAAGAAAGAGTCAATCGAGTGGAGCGAAAAATCAACAGCAGGAAATTGTTTAAAGTAATTGCATCGAGAAGGAAAAAGCAAAAACGGGCACAAAATTGCAGCTGGCCTCAGCTGAAATTGTGAGAAGAGAAGCCCAAGGAAATGCAAGAAGGTAGCAACAGCAGCAGCAACTTCAACTCGCAGCAGCAGCAACAGCAGCTGCGCAGACCGCAACATTGGCGCCGGCTTAGGAATCAGCAGCTGACGATAGTGCTGCCCACTTGGAGTTTTTATAGCCATAGTCAGGGAGGTTCTTACAAAATAACCTATTTCGTATACCAATACACCAGTGCCGCGTCACTAAGTGCACAGCAGTTTCCTTTACTTGAGCTGCTAAAGGGAGTAGTGCCCAATAGGACAATTTTTTTATCCATTAACAGGGAGTTTTAGGATTACTCTTTCTGTATAACGCAAACTTCATTTAACCATCTACCAGTTTAGTCTGTTAGTTTGTCGCAAAATAACTGCTGGTCTCCTTCGTCACTAAGTGGATTCACAGTGCTATAATACAGGGTTTCCACCCTACTTTTTAAAGTCACTGTTCGTGTACTTTGGGATTACTTAAGGTCTAGTAAGATATAATGGTAATAAACCTTTGCCAAAGTTGGAATTTAAGTTACATATAGTTATTAGTTGTAATGCTTGTAATTGCAATCTGGTAAGTTGCTGGGAAGTTAACAAAACTATAATTCAAATCATTAATAGCAAGGGGTTTATTGAAACTCTTACAGCAGACACTAGGTGCGGATTTTCCTGCAGGCATAATACTTTTCATGAATATTTTTGTAGACTGAGTGAAATGTCTGCCAAGTGACCGAGAACAAGAAATCTTTTCTGTTTGGGGAAGTCAAAGTACCGGCAAACAAAACAACAGCAAACTTATAGAGCGAGGGGAAATGCTTTTGTCGTGTGTATCCGACGCGTATATTTGTTGTTTGCATTGTAAATATGATGGGGCATAAAAAGACAGCTAGTCTGGTTTTTTGTACTTTTATTGCTATTTATTCTCCGTCTGCAGCAGACAAAAGAGGAAATGCGACCGCCGCAGCACGTCGCTTATCTCCAGTGGCTGTCAAACTGCACGGTTCATGGCTTGCATGCACAATGCAGAAAGAAAAACATAAAAAAAAAATCGTTGGACTTTGCGATGGTATCATGATAAAGAACTTCCCCCGAAAGTCGATTGTGAAATAAATACCCTAGAAATTGATATGTGAAAGAAAATTTAACCAATCCATTACAGACAATTGAACAGCACACACTATCTTCGTTTAACAGCCTAACTTCCCACAGAAATTTTTGGCATTAAAGAAAAAAATATTATGTGGAAAGTGCACAAAATTAAAAAGAATTAGCTACTGGGAATATTTTCAAATGGACTTTCCCACACTAATATTATGTCTTGCTGAAAGCTTCTTAGTAAACAAATTATTCAATGAGCAGAAACTACCTACTATGTACACACACAATTCCTGGCCATTGCACATGGATCACGTACCCCTTATATTATATCCATTTCTAAACGCACCCTCATTCTGCTTATTGCGTGCTAAAAATAACAATATTATTTCAGCGATAAATGCAATTTGCTTATCTGCAGTTGAACGACTTATGTATAAATATATATACATACATATCTTGGCAAATTGAGGGCAGTGCAAACTTGACACAGATAAACGCGTATTATGCATTGAGTCATTTCCATTAATTTATAAATGTAAGCATTATCTAACAGGCGACGGGCAAATGTTTCTAGTTTCTTAATTGCTGGGCACAGCACGCGCTCATAAAAGAGAATCTAAGAGAACAAAAAGATAGATCTGATTACAAGGGAGCTACAGTGGGCACACGCTACAATGAATTATTAGCTCGTATATTATTATTTTATAGAATGATAAATGTGCTCAATGCAAACATATTTACATATGCCTAGTTACATTTTGGTTAAAAACTACGATATCTGAACTTCAAAAAGTCCTTTACGTAGGAGGTACTACTGTAAGAAAAACCTTTTATTCCTTTGTTTGTTTTTGCATTGGAAATATGTGACTGAGAATAACACAGCTGTTACACTTTGAATTTAAAGGAAAAACATTAATCAGCAGCACCAGAAAAACAACGAATTCATAGCTGCTTCCAAACATTTGTTAAATATTTGTTTTCCTGAATGTTTACACTTGGCCAACACAGATTTCCACTGTTTGCCCTGCGATTAAATGAGCATGGAGAACAGGCTGGCTGGCGATGAAGAAGTAATGCTACGCGAAATTGCAGCGTCTACAGTAAACAAAGTGGAACAGACTTTTCTAGGAAAGTGGGCGTGTGTGCTTGTGTTGGTACTTAAAATCGGCATGCTTGTGTGTATCTGTGTTTTGAGTGCTTCCAGCTTTCAATATCAAAAAGTAATCAATCGATGGAGCAATAAGCAAACGCTATTGTCCATATTATTCATGTTGATAGTTGGGACATTGCCCTATATATGAGAGTGGTTTTCTCAAGTGGTTTCCAATACAGTTCTAGAGGGTAATATAAATAAACAAAACTTTATTGCTAAGTGGCCTCTTTGGGGGTTTTGAGTCTGAAAGAATTGCTTATATTTTGATTCTGGAAAAATGTTCTGCGATAAAAAATAGTTATCAGCATTTATGTGTGTCTTCCATTCATGTAAAATATATAGATATAGTTGGCTCCCTGCTCCAGCATATGCTTCCGAAATTCCCATTAATTTTCTCCTGCCCTATGCCTTATGATTCATATTTTCATCGCCCCACTTAAGGCCCACCAATTTAGCAATAACACTCAGACAAATTAATTTCAATAAATCCATCAATAGAATCCACTGTGCCCGTTTGTGCCCCTTCGTTTTCCTAATGGTCAGTCAATATCAATGTGCAGACATGTGGAGGCTTCCACATCCAAAATAAAATAACCCGCAAGCCAAATAAAGTAGCTACGGTATGGGCACCGTGCTCCAGCTCCATTCCGTGCTGATGGAGACTCCGCCGCCCACATGGCTACACCAAAGAGTTGCGAGGAATGAAACAGCTGAGGGCAACGATATAAAGCTCCATTTGCCAATACAGTTGGAGCGCCATCAATTTAATTTTTTGCTTCTTCCGGTTGGGGCCCACGCCCTTCAAAATGGAAATGCCAGTCAATGTCTGCCACATGCCTTTTTTTTTTTGTGGTTTGAACTTTTTCACTAGCAGGGTATGTGCGGATGTGAACTGTTAAAATGCAGAAATCTAGTAGTAACAAATTGTTTTTAATATTTATGTATATTTATTGGCTTCAGATAGCTACGGACATGGATACTTTGGATAGGTTTCTGAAATTTCGCTTAATAAAGCCTTATCAAACTTTTGCCTATATCAAACAGATAGCAACGTTATCTTCAAATCTATCTATTTATGGCATAAATCTTCTCGTCAATCATTAAACTGTTAATATATGGCAATAATAAACTGCAAATTTTTTTTTAGATATTTATTTATGTATGGCATAAGTAATGACCAAATTCCACGGGCTTATTCAGTTTTTCAGAGGAATTTATGTAAATGTAATGGCTTGGATCTCCATTACCTCCAAGGAGCGTCATAACCGAGACGTTCCCTGCTCCACTTACATCATCAAATGTTCCACGGCTGTCCGTACCCGTTGGCAAAGTTGACTTTGGGCGTTGCTCGAATCCATGTTTGTTCCAAATCCCCAGGCGCACCCCGTTTTTGGCTGGATGAAATGGCTGCGTGGTGCGAGGACAATTTCTGCAGTATTTATGGCAGGCGGGCAGATAAAAATGAAAATTAAAAAGTAACGCGAATATTAAGAGATGCAAACAAAACAATGATGGCACTTTGAATTTTTTTCGGCGCGTCAAACAATTTGATTTATTTTGCGAGACGTAAAAAACACATTTTCGCCTGTCGCATTGCGTTGAAGTTGGCCAAAAGCCAGCTGTGGGCCATAAAAAGGGGGAATGAGCGGGGAAATAGAGTGGAAACTCTTGGAAAACTGCCAGTGAAAGCAGAATTGAGCAGGTGTCGCTAGAGATAAAAAATATCTTCGTCACGGGTCTGCAGGTTCAAAGTACAAAGTCGCTCCTGGTCCCATTTTGTCCTAAATTGATGCCTCCGCATCGGGGAAATCCAATTTCCGCATCCTCGAACAACTTTTCAACCCAAGCCATCTCATCCCGACGTCATTGGCCGGCAAAGGTTTATTCAACTTGAGAGGATGCAACAAAAAAAAAAGAAAAGGATTATGCACTCATGAAAAAAATGTTGCATGTTGCATACAGCTATTTAGATATGCTCAGATATATAGTTTTGAGTTTAGTACTGTTAGTATACGTTGTTGATTAGGCGAAGTTCAATAATATTTCTTTGTCATTCGTAAGACGCACATGTTTACCTTTTCTGTTAGTGTAGAACTGTTGCCGCTTCCTAGCGTTGCATCACTGTGAGCTCATATTGTATGCAACAGCAGTAGGAGCTCTCCATGTGGCAGGTTAATGTCTAGAAGCTACCGAAGTCAAGTTCCCATTCATTCAACGGCTTTGTTCGCAGGAAGATGTATGTGCTTAGTCTACAAAGTCTAGTCTCAGTAAATCAGTTCGCAGCTGTCGCCAGTCCGCAGTCAGTTATTCAGTCAGTTAGTCAGTCAATCAGTCACTTGCTCAGGCTAGCCAGTTTTGGTTGCCCCATCAGTTGCTCATTTCTGGTTTTCACTGTGTTTTTGGCAAGTTGCGTAAAATGCGCCTGAAGGAAGGTGGGGAGGCAATACCAGACTGGTCCGCGGGTCGTTAATTTTAACGATATGGCTATTAAAACTCACCAACTTCTTACGCACTGTTGGCCAAGCACTTTAACTACTTGAAAGAGCAGCAGACACCTTACTTAAATTTTCACATACTAAATTTCTACCATTTGAAATACATTGTAGGTATACGGAGTTTTGTAATTACAAGTCAAATCTAAAATTCTGTTGTTCAGCTGGCAGAGGTACAAGTCCAATACATCCGCTGGCTGAAAATCATTTCCTTGTTTGATCTCAATTCCCTATCGAACTGAATATTCTTGCAATTAACTTCAAAACAGGTGGCTTTATATCGGATATAAAAAGCTTTTCTCTTTTTGGAAAATATGAGCGATTTAAATTAAAAATTCTTTTCTCTAAACGCTTATCTCGATCTGCCCAATTTTGCATTCCGTTTTCCCGAATCTTTGCACACAATTTAACGTTGATTACGTTTGCTTTGATTTAAAAAAAAACACAGAAAAAAACGATTGTTTTGTCAAGTTATTATATTCCAATTTGTATTCTCACTAATGCTACAATCAACGTCATTATAAACACAAAAAGTAGTAATGTAAAATATATATTAAATTTAATATTAACTTCCTACTAGTCCGCCTCTGTATTTTTCTCTTTCTCCTTTTTTGTTGATTTATTCATAACCACTCCCCCACAAAGTCTCAGTTTTCGTGCTGTTTGCGCTCATTTTGCATGCAAATTCATTTAGTAAATTAATTGCCCACTCCGAACGCACTTGCCCACTTTTTGGAATTCTCTCCGGTATTGCAAAGGGTATGCTGGGATTTCAAAATCTTCGACTCTCCCCAAAGACAAAAACGTACCAGTTTTTCAAAACATGTTAGGAAATCTGCGATATGTATTTTTTTTAATAGTTATTATTTGTTGTAATTCTATAGTCATACAAATAAAACGAAAAGAGCCGAGGGAGTTCAAAAGTCGAGTAATCCGGTCTCATTAGCATTACTCTTTCTGTTGGCTGGAAAGGGGCGAATCAAATTGCCGGCAGATTGAGGTCAGGCGCTCCACTGTGGCGTGGAGTGCAAATGGAAATGGAAGTGCGTGTCAAATGGAACAGGGTTCGGGTTCACTCAACATCCCCCAGCTGGATACAAATTAATGTATTCCCTCTGCTTCCATTTACAGATCTTTCCCGGAACAGATTCGCCGAGCTGCCCGAGGAAGTGACTACCTTTGCCTTCCTGGAGACCCTGCTACTGTATCACAATACGATTCGCAGCATTCCGGAGTCGGTGAAGCAGCTATCATCGCTAACCTATTTGGATTTGCGCAGCAATCAGTTGTCCTCGCTGCCCCGGGAGATTTGTTTCCTGCCTCTTCAGGTTCTGCTGGTTTCCAACAATCGATTGTCTTCGTTACCAGATGAACTGGGTCGATTGGATCAGACACTGACCGATCTGGATGCTTCGTATAACCAGTTGGCCAATCTGCCCGCTCGTCTGGGGGAGCTTAGATCTCTGCGTTCGCTTTCGTTGAGGAGCAATCACTTGCTGTATCTGCCCAGGGAGCTTACCTGCTTGAGTTTGATTTCACTGGACGTGAGCAACAACAAGATCGCTAGTCTGCCACTCGAGATTCGTCACATGAGCACTTTGGTAGAGCTTCAGCTAGAGAACAATCCTCTGACCTCGCCTCCAGCTAGTGTGAGTTATATAATGAATATTATACACGAATGCCATATTTAAAATAATACCTTACAGCTTTGCATGCGCGGACTGGTGCACGTGTTCAAGTTTTTGGAAACGCAGGCCACGAAGGACGAGAAGGGATCCCGGTCAGGTGGCAACTATGATGGATACACCACATTGCGAAGAGCCCCGCGGCACAATTCCAGCGGCAATGTCCTCGAAGCTAGCACCACTGGCAGCACTAACAACCAGCGGAGACATCAAGTCGACTCGGGATATAACACCAGCGATGGTTTGGACAAGCGCTGGTCGCACGATGCTCCTACTAAATCGAAAACGGACTCACCGCTGCACTGCGTTTCCAATTCGGCGGCTGCCACTTTGCCGAGGACGCTGCCAAGTGCGGTTCATTCGCAAGCGGATCTAATGGACGCATCCCTTACCTCCAGCACTAGTACCATTGTGGATGAGAGTCTCACTTTGAGTCCCACAGCATCGCCCTGCAAGTTGAGCTATGCACACTCGAATAGCTCCAGTAATGGATCGTCGCCAGATCAGGACGACGACATAATGCTGGACCACCAGGAGCGAACTGTTCACCACGCTAATGGCAAGTCCGGAAAAGCGCTTGGCAATATTCAGACCTACAAGTAAGTAGACAAGTATTTAGCTCATCAACTTTTAATTTGTGGATTTCATTCCGAAAAAGGGAGTACAAGGAGGCCCTGAAGCAGCAGCGAAACCAAGAGATCAGCGTGTATAAGCAAAAGCACCCGAATGCCAACCACAGTCCCAATGACGACGAAGATCTTTCTCCGTCACCGCCGGCCATCTCAAACGGATCTTCCTCGAACACACTGCCAAAGTCTATTATGAAACAGAATAGCAACCAAATTGGCCACAATGGGAATGGAAATGGAAGCGCAAACGGAAATGGAGTCGATGATGTTGTTATACCAAAGAAACCCATCCAGAAGGTGATTCCCTCTCGGATTACAGAAATAAAGCCAGCATCCACATCCGGCATTCCCTCCGCAAACTCATCGGATTGCTTGGGCTACGTTAAGCCACAGAGTCCCATGAAGAACGGCACAAGCAAATTTAATACGTCCAATGGTGGAGGAGTGCCACCAACAGTGGGAATCGCCAGTAGCACCACCATCAAATCACCAGTGAGCTCCACCACCAAACTTGGCACAGTCAAGACACATCGCTCGGTGACCTGGAACCATGACATCCCCGCGGAGAAGCTGAGCTTCACCATGCGCCGGGAGTTTGATCGCCAAAGGGAGGAAACCGAATTGATGTCGCAGCTGAGAACTGTAAGTGTGAACGGAATTCTTAAAAGTGAGGACTCTAGTTTAACTCGTTCTTTATACAGATCATTGAAACGCGTCTGAAGATGACGTTGCCTGTGGATATAGCCTCTGCCCTGACGGATGGTGTTATTCTGTGCCATTTGGCCAACTATGTGCGTCCGCGATCGGTGGCCAGCATTCATGTGCCATCTCCCGGTGTCGTGAGTGTTCTGTGATTTAATTTCATTTTGCATTGTTATATATTTTTGTTTTCTGCATTTCAGAACAAGTTGACAATGGCCAGGTGCCGGCGGAATGTGGATAATTTTCTGGAGGCGTGTCGACGCATTGGCGTAGATGAGGTGCGTAGAAAAATTATTTCCTTCTTGTAAAAGTATAGTGCATTTTGAAACGTGAAAGTCAAAGGAGTCAACTCAATTATTATTAAACAAATACCTGTATACACTTGCAGAATGCAAATTGATTTTAGTCAGAAGTCCGTCGTGTCTACGCCAACTAGTCTTTTAGTTTTTGATTCGTATATCTATTCCAGGCAGAATTTTGGTCCGGTAATACTTGTTATAGCTACCATAGAAATAACTAAAAATTAAATGAAAAAATATAACTTCAATGTTTTTAATCAGAAAGTGTCCTAACACATCAGTTTTGAGAGTCAAAAAAGAAGGGCTTTATCATGTAGTTGGCAAGGAAGTCGGAAGATTAATTAAAAATATGTAATAGAAAAGAAATCATGTTTTCTTTCTTTGAAAACATGCAGTGTTCTAATTCGGTAATTACTTAATTTTCGAGAAGTATATTTACTGCAAGGGTATATAAGCTTTGGTTTGCCGAAGCTAGCTTTCATTCTGATTACTGACAATTTAATGCAATTACAAGATTAAAAATGACTGATATTTATTTAATTATATTTCACTTGACTCAAGATGCACTGTACACTGAATTTGTTTGTTCTGTAGCTCTAGTTATTGTTTAGCTTCAAGGTTCAAGGTGGCGTTGGTTGAATGCTTTATTATTCTGAGTGCTTTCCAAACGCTTTTTGTCCTAGACAATTTTAGTTTAGATTTAAGTGTATTTGAACCCCAACACACACAAAACACACTACACAAACACATACACATACACCCACATAAAATACCCCAGAATACAAACAAGAAACTGATGCATCTGTTATTGGTGTTGGTTGCAGGAGTTGATTTGCTCCTGTGAAGATGTTGTGCCACAAATTGAACCGCAACAACCACAATTGCCCCGTGCTGACGATGACTATGATGCTGATGTTTATGTCCAAGATGATGGCAGCATCAGCAGCAGCAATGACAGCAGCCACATGCAATGCAGCGACGATTGCAACAGCAGCAGCAACCATGTTAATAGAGTGCCCAATGCATTGGCCCTACTGCGCACAGTGTCCGCTCTGATTGCCATGGATGAAAATCCGTATCATCAGCAGCTTCATCATCATCTTCAGCTGGAGCAGCAACACTTCGAGCAAGAGCAATTCAGTGAGCCAACTACCTGCAGCCAACAGCAAGAACAGATGTTGCAGTTGCAGCAGCAACAGCAGCAGCTAGAGCATGTTTTGTATGAGAATGGCCAGCCAAGGGCTGAAAATGATGATGGGGTTGAGGATCGTGATGATGATATAGGCAAGCGGCAGCAGCAACTAGCGACTGTGGGTCAAATGCTGCTGAAGGCCAAGCAAAAAACATATGAAAAAATAAAACACAATCTGCTCAGTGCCCATGGTCAGCATAACTTCCAGGGCAACAATAACAATAGAATGTTGCACACGATTGTGGAGAATGAGCACGATGTGGCCGCTGCAGGACCGGCGGGTCATTATCAAATAATAGACGAAAAGCAAGAGGAACCGCATCAGCAAAAGTCAGAGGACCCAAAGGATGCAGTCGCACTGGGCAACGCAACCAAGGAAGCCATCAGCAAGCGGATCGAGTTCTTCGAGCAGCAAAAGAGTGGGAAACAAAAGCTGGAGGTCTTCAGCATCTACTTACCCAAGGAGAAAACCAAGGAACTGGAGCTGGAGCAGAAAATAAAAGCAAAAACCATCGAAGCTGGATCTTCAATATTAAAGCACGATTCCCACACATTGACAGTGATCCTGTCATGCGTTTTCATCGCCACCTTCCTCTGGCTGGTGTTTTTCCCGCTGCCTGGCTAGTCTATATAGTACAGCTTCATTTTATTAGCGCCTTGGTTTGCCAGTAGAGTTAAGATCTAAAAACAATAGAGTTAAAGCTGCTTTTGCGCTTTTCCACTTGGTAGTGAGTTCTTGAGGCTGCTTTTGTTTATGGCTTAGGATTACCTCCACTATTTATGAAGCATTCTATACCTAGTTTTTAGCCTAAGCAATTGAAATTCCCCAAAAGACAACAGAAAACTTTGAGGCATTTAATGAGAGGAAACGTAAAGACTTCAAATCAATATTTGGCTCGTATTTATTTTTGATTATTTTAGGGTGTGCACAATCATATATAAAATATATTCTTATTGAATTGTTCAAATATAAGTTCCAAAAATTACAAATGCTCTTTTTGCGTTTCAACCTAAAGTTCCTTTCAAAAAACCTTTTCTAGTATTATGTTTTTATTTTAATAGAATTTTATAATTTAAAACTAAAATCTGAATCTTTATGACAATTAATAATGACTGCTGTAAGATAAACAAATTTTATAATAATCTCTGGACTAAATATTATCATTATATCATATATATATTATTGAACTATATTTAGCATTTCATAAATACATATTTATTTTTATATCACCTACATATAACTCGACTCTAAGCAAAGCTACCTTTCAACGACTTCGATTGTGCATACCCGTAGAAAATAATTCAAATATAGCCGTTTTACAAATACCCCCCGTAACCACATATTCCTAGTTCATGTACAAGCTATTGAACTCTAAATTGGATTTAGAATTAAAGAAAAAATTGGAAATTGACATGAACTGAAAAACATTAACAATGCGCTTCATTTCACTAAATTTTGCAAACCATTTGAAGTATGATTGACCTAAGTTACAACGAAACTAAATCGATTTAAGTTCCATTCATAAGAAAACTGAATTATTGTAGACATAGGAACGATACAATATACAATAACATGTACCAGTTAGAAGGTTAGGATGAAAGGGCAGGAAGGACACTTGTTACAGTTTGATGGACAGCCAACTCTTGTAGTAAGTGTGAAATGGAACTACTGGAGGAAGGTGAAGCTGTGTGGTTTTACTTGAAGCAGGGACACTCAAAATAGTTGTAGCAGTTATATTTGAAGACATAAATCTATAGCCAACCAATGTACCCGTTGAAAGGACTCGTTTGACCAGAGAGAAGTTAGAGAAAAGTTTATTTTGTCCGGTACACAGCATTAAGTGAGTCATGTTGCGTTTTAATGATTTTTGAATACATTATAAAGGTAGCAGAGCATACAAACTAATTCCATCTTGCAAGTACTTTTTATGTACAAATTAACTGTGTCAAAATAACAAAGAATCCGAATATTTAAAAAGTGCAACACCAAACATAAATTTATTTTCTCATCCAATTCAAATGCGCACACTTTCATGTAGGAACGACCACTTAAATATAAATAATAATCACAAAACAGTGCCTTTGAATGAAGAGCGGCGACAGTCTAGTCTGCCCAGATGATCTATTACAATCTATCCTTCTAAAAGCAATAATTTTTCAAACGACGCTTTCTGTATCAATTTAATTTGCAAACAAGTTCACACGACCTAATTTCAAAATGTGCTTACAGCATTCCTAACACTATTATAAGTTTATTAATTTAGGCATACTATTGTACTTAAACGATGAAAACTGAAATCTAATCAAATTTCTAAAAGAAACACAATCTCCAACACTCAGAAGTAAAAGATAAACATATATATTTATCTAGCGTCTAAAATCAGAAACATATATTTTGTCTAACAAAATTATTAAAGGGAAGACAAAGCATTGAGGCAGCTGTAATCAGTCATACATTTTTATGAAAGACAACACGTATTTAACATGCATATATACCTAAAAATATATAAGAAATCTCCAAAATACAAATTAAAGCCAAAACTTTTTGTCAACATTTGTCAGTGGAATATTCCATACGCATATACTTCCAAACCAAATGAAAATGAATCCCGTTGCATTTAAATTTAAGCACAAAATGTCAAATAAGCGCTATATATACAAGTGAAATCAAAGAGCAAATATACGAAAAATATACCAAAAACTACACGTTTACAGTTTTACAGTAATTGCGTCTTAGCTAAGACTCAACCCATCGATGCTTTATTATTTGCCCCATACCTGCTCCAGTTGCTTGCAAACTGTGGAAATTGGTACTTTACTAAATGAAAGCAATGTGTTTTAGGACTTAAAAACCAAATTAACTTTTAATTTAATTACCACAAACCTATTTTATTTATGGCCAATTTAAATATAGTTCGCTTAAACTTGATACTTGAATACTTTCACAGTTTGCATTTATGTTTATATCTGACTTCCGTATAAGGGAAATAATAACACATTTCTTTATTAAACGCCTGCTACAAAAATACCACAAAGGAGGTTTTCCAGATTGTTCTCAACCTCCCTATGAAAACTTAATGTATTTGTGTAAATCTTATTTTTGTAGAATCTAATTTGCTGCGCTGCCGACGTGCTGGAGGGAAAAGGTGCCGTCCAAGTGGCCATTACGGTTGGTGAGCTTTTCCGGCTTCATGGAAATGGTGGCTGCGGCAGTGGCAACAGCAGTGGAGCCGCCACGCCCACGAAGTCGCCCACCAGAACGACACGTGCCACAATGTCGCCAACGCCATTGGCTTAGGATCGGTGGAAGCAGGACGTGGATGTGGAATCGGGACTCTAGGATATTCCTGATATTCTGGATGAGTTCGCGAAATGGGTTTCCTAATGGCCGCCATATACACACTTACATAAAGTACATGCCAAATGTATGATTTGTTGATACCTATATGTCACTCATTTTTCTAGGTTCGTAGTTCATTTATGTAGATACACAACAACACTCACAAGGAACACTTAAAGAAACCAAAATACAAAGAGCACAAAACAATCGAACATATATCGAATCAAATCACACAAGTCACGAATTATTTATGCGAGTTTTGGTTTTGTGCAATTGTTTAGATTTAATTATACATGTGCTACAATCGTCAGCTGTATTTTTTGTTAAAATTTCCCTATCACACCCATACGAGCGAAATATCGGGCCAAAATTACGACTAGCGATTAGTTGCATATTGAATACTGTTTTAAGTATGAATCACATATGTATGAACATCCAAATATTTAGATATTTATCGAATTATTATTATGGCATATTTATTATGTAGCTTAGATGTAGATCTACGATTAACTGTGGTACACATTTTCTACCGGCGCTGCATCATTTCTACGAATCGAATTGTACTAGACCCCTAAGTCTTGGATTATACAAATACAATATATATCAAATAAAAGCGGAGAAAAACTGTCAGTCATAAGTAAGAACTATTTTCCTTTAATCGGGGAAAATATTTTTGCTTGCCTGCTCGACGAAAATTGGCACAAAATGTCAACAGCTGTGGCCCAACAAAAAATGGCGTAAAAATCCTGAAAGTTTCTTTTGTAGTTTCATAATTTGCATAATGCGCCAAACAAACCATTGACTTTTTGGGTGGTTGGGAGGCTTAAGCGGAATCAAAACTGCTCAAGCGAAAATTAAAAACACTCGACACATCCGCCAGTTCTGTTTAGCAGCTGCTCCAATGACAGTCATTTTGGTAAATGTTGGCAAAGTTAACTGCAGAACAATATTCAACAAAAAATGTTACGTATTCAAAGTAGGTTTTAAATAATAGTAACACTTTTGTATGGAAGTATTTTGCTTAAATATTATTTAGTAAGGGTAATAGTTTGATGCTCTTGTGCAAGTAGCAAAAACAGCAGAAACTTTCTGCTATTTGTGTCTCATCAATTAGTCAGCACATAAGCTAAGCAGCACCTATTACTAATTCAAGCCTACGGCATGGAACAAGGACACAGGACTAATAAAAGGACCTGGGCAGGAGCAAGTGGAGGCATCGAGTGGCTCCGAGTCATTTATCACTGTGAAATTTATTAAAATGATTATCTCGTATCTACATTTCGCACGGAATGCCTAATTTTTCCAGGACAAACAACACGCGCCTTCTTCTGAACTTCAGTTTGCTCCGGACTTTTTTTGTGGTTTCCTATTAGGGGTACTCCGGCAGTTTTTGCCGTTTGCAGCCACTGATAAGGCAAAGGAACAAAGCGCCCCAAAGTGGCAGGGTGCACTTAGAAAAACTTTACTGTGTGTACCATTTAAATATTTCAATAGTTTTTGTGCATTTCCTGGCTTGTTTTTTATTACAATTCAATGCTTTTCATTGTTATTACACATAATTATATGAAAATATGGTTATAGCTTATTCAGCTTATAGCGAGAACAATCGTACTCATTAGCATTATACATTTGGTCACTCAAAATATAGCTTGTTCGAATTCCTTTCAGTGTTATGGGCGGCATTTTTGGTGTCCCTCGGCTGGGGCCATAGTTTAATTGTGACATCGGAACAACTCCACAACCCCTCCGCTGGAAAACCGCCTCAGGAGAGGGCAATTAGTTGAACTGCGCCCTGGGGAATTGAGATAATTAAAATGACTTCCACTGCTGCTGCTACATGCGGAAATATTTTTTAGCCAAATAATCTGATTGCTCCTACATCAACTCTGTCAGCTCTGTGTGTTCTTGTGCGTTTGCTCATAGCCCTTTTGAGAAACGAAACGGAATCAACATTTGCATTCAATTCAATGGCAAAAAGCACTTTAATTTATTTACCCCCATTGAAAGTCATTTCGTTCTAATCCTATTAATTCAAATCCAAACACTTTTACCACCGCATCAAATAGAATTGCTTTTTGAAAGAGCAAGACGGGGGGTGGAAATGTTTGGCTGTTCTTTTTGTGGCGAAAAAATTGCATTTCATTGTTTTTAGCAATCGGAAAATATTTTACCTTGGCAAAGGGATAGCTTTTCAACTATTGTGTTCCGAATTCAGGAATTCACTACTGCCACGAATTGAAGTTGGACGCAATCAAAAGTAAACTAGAAAACGCAATCACGGCGACAGCTTTTGCCAAATGACATTTCAGAGTGTTTGATGTAGATTCGTACTTTTTTAATCCGAAATGAATTAAAAAAATAATGTTGAAGTAACCAAATCGAAGAAAGTGGTAATTATGCAATCCACAGTTCATGTTTAATTATTGATTTTCAAAACGATAAATTGTTGCTTTTGGTTGCCATTAAAAATTACAATGAACATTTAAAATTTCATGCCCTATTAATAAGTAAGTTAAGTAAATGCAGCTTCTACATTGAATTACACTAAATAAACTTATAAATGAATTATTCGAAATCGCTGCGAAAAACAGAAATCCTTTAATTTGACTTATACCAAAAGTATATAACAATTTTAATTTGCTTGTGGCTTAAAAGCCGCCGAATTATTCACTTCGCTATGCCCTATTTAAATGCATTTAAACCCACTCCATCCCCACCAGGCATTATAATGAAGATGAATTTTTGTAGATTGTGTATTTATCCGGTTCGTGTAGCAATTTCATGCAATTTGTTTGGCCAAAGTTCCAACTCAGTTGATTTTCCGGCTTTCATTGCGCCCTGGGCGCAGTGTAGGCAAAATTTAAATAATACAAAAAAGTATATATATTTATACATACATATATACAAATATATATATTTCTATGTGTAGGAAAAGGTCTTTAAAAGGCCTTTGGTGGGGGCCTGCAGACCCCATTAAATATGCAGCAGACGATCCTAAAACACGTATCATCCTCTGATGCCGCCGCAGTTTCGCACTTTCGTTGCGCTAAATGAGTTTCAGCAGCAAAATTAAAAAGTTTATCAGAAGCAGCAAGCAGAGGTGTGTGTGTGTGTGTGTGTGTGTGTGTGTGTGTGGCAAAAAAACTTGAAACTTTTTCATGAAGTTAAAGCAAAGTAAAATCAAATTATTGTGGTTGCTCGCAGGCTGGCAAAAGGATTACGCGATGGTGGATCTCCGCCTTGCCGCTCCACTAACACCCACCGCCCCACTTTCCGCCCTATTTTCCACCCCATTTTCCAACCCATTTTCCACCCACCTGTAATAAAACATGCCGCCACTGCATTTTGGGGAGCCTGCCAGACAGAGGGACGCCGTCTCCACAGCCAGACAGTTAGACTCGCCTGGCTGCCTGTTCACATGAAGTTGGCGCATTCTAATTGAATTTTCACTTTTTTCCAACCGCTCCCACCGCTCCCACCGCTCCCCCCGCTCCCAGCGCCCTGCAGCTCACCTGTGCGACTACGTGACGATGGCCTGGCACAGAAATTGAAATAATTATTTTTAATCTTAAGTACGACTTGCGCGTAATGAGATTTGGATTATCCCAGCGCCCTTTTTCCAACTAGCAACTCCCCTAGACTTGCACAAAAAGAAACTGATTGCTGTGAGACGCATAAAAAGTATCTGTGTGTTTTTGGGGAGGGCATAAAAGATGCAAAGTTCTTTTTCGAATGTGTCGCAGCTCGTTTGTTCGGCTAAAGAATATAGTTGTGAAAATCAGGTACTTTGTGCTTCGTAGTAAGAAAAGTTATATATTTGTTATAAACTTAGGCATCTGCCATCTACGGTTATACCATTTTTAATTTTCCGCATTAATATCTTCTACGTTTTGCCATAAGGACTGCCGAAGGACGTCTTCCACAACTTCTGCACCGTGCTCGACAATCCCTGCACAGACCCATAAAATCCCTGTGCGAGATATCCTGCATAGCTTGCAGTCGTCGACTACTTCTTTTGACTGAACCAGATTTAGAATCCATCGAACACTCGCTATCACTGTCATATTTGCCCTCTAGAAGATCCAGCAGTTTCAAGACAGTTTGCAGACGACCTTTTGTTCCTTTATCGATGGTTATGGTTAGGGATTCACCATCCTGATTTCGGGAAGTGCCTGCCTGCGAGACATCAGATACTTTTCCTGAAATATTCTTTGTCTCAAAATTCCGTGACGACTTTGGCTTTTTTGGATTCTCGCCAGTTTTAAATGTTCTTTCACAGGCTTTCGACCTTTTCCTATTAATTTCAGACGACGTTTTCCTAGATTTGTTTCCTCTTCCCTGAAAGTGCATATCTTTTTTGGTGCCAGCTGCATTCAAAGCGGAATCCCCGGGATCGGCTTCGTTCTGACTTAAGTCGTTTGATCTATTCTTTTCTGCCATAATCAAGAGTATTTGACTTTTTTTGCCTTTGGAAAGTCTTACTACACTACTGATTTTGATTGTGTATGGTATAAATCAGGGACACAGAACAGTGAAACTTGATTCCATTTTGATTTTCTTGACTTGGCCTACGTTGGTGCATAAATTGCCAGCAGGCAGGAAAAGTTTGGCCACCCACAACCCTCGCAAATATTGCATTTTCATTAAGTTAAAGTTTGGTTTTTAGTTTAATTTTTTCGTACCCTTTACGGCTTGCCCCCTCCGTTTACTTAAAAACTTTTTGCGGCAAGTTTTTGGCTCAAAGTTTGCATGTGTTTATCTGTCAGTGTGTGGGTATAAACGGTGCGTATGTATGTGTGGGTGAAAAAGTGTGTGTGAGCGCGTGTAATAATCATGTGCGCAGTCAAAGCAAAATGACGATAGCATTGACGCTCCGCCATAAACTTTTGACGGGCCAAGTTGCTTTGGGCCAAGTTTCAAGCTGCCAACTGCAGCATCGCCTCTTATAGCAATTTCCTACATTTCTCTGTCTGCCAATAAGAAGCTTATTTAGTTAGTATGGCTGATTAGGAGGAGTGTTTAGTACAAAATTAACTTAAAGATAGTTCAGTTGCTTAATTGATCTGATTTTTCTAAGACCTATGTTTATATGTATAGATAAAACTATGAATATGATGAGTAAACATAGTTGACTTTTGTTGTACTTGTTAGTTGGTACTACTTTATAATCGTTAATTATCCGTTCTAGTAAATAAGAGATTTGATTCATAAGACTTTTTTAAATTTCCAATTTAAAAGCAGTTTACTAAATGTTTCCACTTTTCGATTTCGCAGTCAATTTTCAGCTTCAACCATTTTCTTTAATTATCCATGGAAAATATCTGAAATTTCTGTTATCGCGCTCGTTCGTTTGCCAAACTTCGACGTTTCATAACAATAGCAAAATGCGACGGACAAGAAATTTTAATAAACTCAAAGTCGAACTGAAAACCATTTTCACACTTGGCCGATCGTTTACAATAACTAAAAATTGAACAATTCTTTCTATCACCGCACTTTTCGCAGTTTATGTCAAAATGAAATGAATAAAATATTGGCTGGCCACCCGGCGACACTCAGAAAGGGTGGATTGCCATCATCCTTTTTTTTAATAAACTTCACCCAGTTTATAAAAAATTTTTTGAATATCAATGCGGGAGGAGAATATTGTCTATTAAAAGAAATTGATTTTTTTGTGTGTATCATAATGGTAGGTCCATTGCAGATTCCGCTAAAATATTCTTTAGTGTTTTTTCAGCTTTGATTTTTTCTGGTTTTGCTGCAGTTGGGCGACTGCATATTGTGGGTTATGAAAAATAAATTAAATGCTAAAGTTATTGCGTTCGCGGGGTCATTTTATATTCAATTGTTAAGTTGTTGCACTAATTTTCACTGTATGTACCATAATAGAGACATTGGACAGAAGCTAAGCTTTTAAATTTATTTTTTGCCTTGTATGGGTTGGGTAAACTTAATTGAACTGAAAATGTGCGCCATTTAAATTTATTTAACAAGACTAGGTGTTTATTATTCCTTTAAAGTTGTGCAAATATGAGTTACAGTCTGAATAAGTGTTTGTATTCTGCCATATATGTGGCTCAAATGCATAGATGACGTGCACCTTACTCACCTTTAGGTGCTGCCCCATTTTTAGTGCTTTTGTGTGCTCCAGATGTGAGCTGCGACTTGTTGACCCAAATATTGCCACAGGTCCTTGAGCATTCAACAACTTGTTGGGTCATCGTCATCTCTTCTGCCCAATGAGCAAATCATTTTCACTGGGCAATGGACACGGAACTGGCAACCGAGCTCTCTACTGCTCTGTACTTGTGCTAAGCACATCATTATGTTGGCTCAACTTTCCGATCATTTTTAATTACCCGGCCAAGCCCTCTTTCCGATTTTCTCGCCAGGTCCTGCTTGCAGGACCCTTATTTTTTTGTTCGCCATTAAGTTCTTTAATGGAATGCTGCATTAATAAAAAATACGTTATGAGCGCATAATAGAAATAAAAGCTAATGTAATTACATGCCGCACTTGTTTCGCCTTGTTGCAGTTGAAAGGACGGGAATTTCCCACTCCCAGTCTGCAATAGAAAATCCTAAAAATTTAATTCCAACAGTTAGAGCCAGTTGAGCGTTAAAAGGTGAGAAGAAGCGGGTATATGTGCATTATAAAAATTCCTACAAGTATTAGCAAGGTATGGAGCGGAAATAAAAATTACTATTACTATTACTATTACTATTACTTACTTAATGTTACGCTTAGTGAAGTGAACTGAACTAAAAAAAGACACTCAAACTGCAATGCATGCACATACTCGTAAGCTTCTTATTGTTAATAATTTTCCATTTTATTCTAAAGTCTGCCTAACTAAAGGAATGTATTTTATTGAAAGGCGTACAATGTTCTTGCCACCTACTTAATCAAGATGTGTGCCAATTCGAGGGTATGGGAGGCTTTGAGTTCCCCGCGTGACTTTTGCATTTCTTGCGCTGGTTTTCCTCTTTTTTCATTTATTTATTTTGTATTTTTTCCATTTTGCTGTTGCTGTTGACTGCTGTTGGGTGCTTAAAAGCTTTGCATTAACTATTAAACGCAACTTGAATCGCATAACGCCACTTGGCACACAAAGAGGGCGAATTCAGAGGGTGACGGCTAAAAAAGAAATAGAAATTCGTGTCAGAAAAAGTGGCCGCGGGTCTAAAACAATTGCAGCCAAATTATGGCTAAAAGCGGAAAAGCTGCAACGCGTATTGTTACGCGATTTGTGCCAATAAATTCGATGTCTGCCGAATCCAGGTGAGCAAATATACATTTCAAATAAACGCACACAAAAATCATGTGGAAATTCGGATATTGGATGAAAATAAAAGTGTGTCGTTTCTGCGTAATTAGGTCAAGATATTAACTTTTGACGTTTATTTTTCAGTCGGTGAAATTTTACAAATATTTGATTTGGATGCCATTTTAGTTTAATTTTATATAAAATGTTCAAAAGCAAAGTGGGGTCTGACATAAAATGCTTTATATTTATTATTTCTTTAGTTAAATGTGCGTAAGTCTGATCGAATTTTATGTGCAAAATATGAGTAATACTCACGTGATTGATTTTATTTTTAGTTAAGTGTACCGAAACTGTAGGTTTCACGCTAAATAAACTTTTATTTATTTTACTGCCTGACCCGCTGGTCTTCAGCCTTTTTTTGCTCTTTCAGCCTGAGCGCAGCACGCGAGGGGTGCTAAAAAATTCATAGAGCACGGAGGGCGATACTGGCCAAAAAGAAGGGGGGATCGGGTGTTGCGTTGTGTAGCTGAAAATTCCTGGGCCAAAGGAGTCGGGAGTTTGAAGCTGTTAGCCTGACAGGTTGCAATGCTATAAAATGCAATCAGCTGCAAAGAAAATAGGTTTCGCTTCACCAAACAGACAAACTGAGGAAGGTTTTGAGGGGAAAAACGAGAAAAAAACGGGTGGAAAACAGTAGAGTGCATCCACAGGAGCTGTTTCTACTGCTGCTGGATGGCATAAATTAAAGCGCAACAAGAGCAAACAGACGCAGGACATATTTGCCAACACACACACACTGCAGTAGGGTAAGAGCGTGGAAAATGCTCATGGAGTTTCCCGAATGGATGCGAAAAGCGGAGTATCATCAGGTGTATATATATAGACAAACAGATTGTGGGCTGACTGCGGACATTCAATGGAATTGCCACAGGAGAAGACAAGACACGATGATAATGCTTCAAAGCGCCGACAACTTTCCGCCAAACAATCCTCTACATTTTGCTTGGTACATTTTCATTTGCTATTACGCCTGCGGCGCAGCCATGTTTAATTGCCGGCTGTCGCTCAGCTAGACAATTGCAAATTGGCTAAGCAAAACGTTTGCGAGTCAGTTAAACGAAACCCGCAGAGTTACATATTCGACATGAGTTACTAACCTATTTTGGATAAAATCAATTAGGTCATAGCCTTTGGCGTTCCACTTTAACCATCTACTAAACAAATAGTAATACGATTGGCTTAACAGCAGCACTGCGCACATTGGAGTGCTAAATGTAAAAAAGTGGCGCCCAACGTGGGGCGTGTCTGGCCTATAAGTAATGGGTAGAACAAAAAGTTGTCAGCCCTATCATATTCTACATATTCTTGAAATTGACTTTAAATTACTTACGCATTTAAGAAGGTAATCGTTTTTATTGCTACTTATTAAATACATTTTTTTGGCATTTCTTAAACATTCGTATTTCTTAGCTACCCTCACCACTTTAACTAAATCAATCAATAAAGTAATTTATTAGACGCCACGCTTAACGAAAAACCAAACTGCTTCCCAAAAACCCAGGACAGCTATTCAATTTCAGCTACGCCAGTGTCTTTGATGGACCAAAAATTGAGGAGGAAGTTAGTAAGCCAAAACCCCAGCCACGCCCACACTCCGCAACGCCGCCCAATTACAACGCCCACGTCGCCCCTCGAAAATTCCGTTGCAATGTGAATTTGAATTGCAATTGCGAATGGCCGCGTGCTGGAAATTAAATAAAACACTCGCAACGAAAGGACGTTAGGATGGGAGCATCCGCAGATACAAACTTTGTCATAGGGAAAACTTTTTCGCTGCACACTGAACCAAAATGAAAACGTAGCCGAGCGTGATGAACCATGGCAGGATGCAAAAGGGGTGGAATCTCGGCTTCGAGAGGAGCGACACCGGGATGTCCTGACATCTGCACCCAGAACAATCAACGAAAAGAAAAAAAAATTAAATAAAATGGGGCCCTCACTCTGATGCCGCATCAAGCTCAATTTAATTGCGTCTGACCAAAAGTAATATACAGCAAAATGTAAACAGCGATAAATCATGTGGCGCACTCATTTGCGCACTGCACTTTCATATTTGGTTTATCCCATGGTCGAAAACCATCACCAAATGTCGAATCAATTGCATTTTTGGTTAGCAGCTGTATGCGATTTTTGATGGAACACCGTAGAGCAACCACTTAGACCTGTTATTAGCCGTCATAATTCTTGTGCAGACAACGAGCAGCTGCCACTTTCGGGTCCTCGAAACGGA